GAATAAAGAGGCCACGAAAGCCAAACAGTCCACCATTGTCAACTACATTTAGAAGCTCTAGCGAGCTCTCGGATCTGTTAGAACTCCCACTTTGGCATTGAGACGCGTGAGCTACGTTTTCAACTGATAAGGGGTTGAATTAACGCATTGTCTTTTCCTACCTCAGTCTACATCCGTGTCGTTGGAGCATTTGTCTTATTTACTCTTTGTATCAGGTAGAATGGAATCACTAAGTCTTCGAAGCTTACTTCTTCGTGAGGACTTGAATTGCCTCTATCCATGTTTCTCAAATGTCCTCATTTACTTTTCGTGGAATACATGGGCGTTGTTTCCTAAGACAGGCGAGTACTCCTGAAATGAGCATTGTTGCCTGTTTGTTATGTGAATGCGCACCTTCCTGTGGTTGAGTGAATGATGGAAGCCTCTGTAGCCCGAGCAGTTCGCCCCTCGCAGCTGTCACCTCTTCTTTCATCTCTTCCATTCCTTGTTAACATCTCTATTTCCCTCTTATAGCCAACCTGCCGGTCTCCGGTTCTCGCTAAAAATTAAACAGTTAACTTGGGCGTCCTTCAAAAATCCTAGCATTTTTGAACCACTTTCAAAAGCCATATAAATGTGAGTACATACGTTGAGCTGGCCCCAAGAATGACCTTTTGATTGGATGAATGCATGTCTAACATTGTATAGGCCACCTGCACTCGAGGAACCTGCCGCTGCCGTGGCTTCGGCCACCACCCCTCCTCCTCCACCTCCTCCTCCTCCTCCTACTGCTGCTGCTGCGGCTCCGGCTCCGGCCCCGGCCCCCGCTTCCAGGAGTCAGTATATCGATTCAACCTTCATGAGAAGCATCTAGTGGCAATGCTAAAATAGATATAGAGTGGAGAAGATGCGGGGAGTGTGGTAAATACCACAAAGGGGATTGCTGGCCTCTTTGTGACTCCTGCGGGCGTCCCCATCTGGGCAACTGCCCCCAAGCTCCTCCCGCGCCCGCTTCCAAGAGTCAGTATGTTGATTCAACCTTCATGAGAAGCATCTAGTGGCAATGCTAATATAGATATAGAGTGGAGAAGATGCGGGGAGTGTGGTAAATACCACAAAGGGGATTGCTGGCCCCTTTGTGACGCCTGCGGGCGTCGCCATCTGGGCAACCGCCCCCAAGCTCACTCCCGCGCCTCCTCCGGCCCCAGCTCTGGCTTCTAAGAGTCAGTATATCGATTCAACCATTCATGAGAAGCATCTAGTGGCAATGCTAATATAGATACAGAGCGGAAGAGATATGGGGAGTGTGGAAATTTCCACAAAGAGGATTGCTGGCCCCTTTGTGACTCCTGCGGGCGTCGCCATCTTGGCGACTGCCCCCCGCCCTGGCCCCAGCCAGCTCCTCCCGAGTCCCGCCCCGGCCCATGGTTTTGAATAATTGTGCACTCGTGTCCATAACTGGCATCACGCCTCTATCTCCGCCCGCTGCCTTCGCTTCCGAAAGTCAGTATATCGATTCAACCTTCCTGCAGAAGCCTCTGGAGAGTGGCAATACTAATACTTGGATAGAGAGCGCCGGCACTTTGCCGAAAAGCCGTGCCGCACAGCCACCCGCCGCTGGCCCGCAACGGTGGTTAATAACTACACCTTCAACAGTGATGGACATGCCATCACCATATCCGCCCACCCAACATCTGCAGGCGCCGGCACCCCGCCTGTCAAAAAACAGAAAAGAAGAAAGCGGCCAAACAAGGCCAAGAAGAAGGAGGAGGGGGAGAAGAAAGAAGAGGAGAAGGCTGAGTGGTTTCATGTATGACATATATTATTCATGTATATAGTAATTTTCATCAATTGAATCAGTTATTCAAAGAAAAACCTTTTGTTGTAGTCTACTGTTGGATACAATACCGAACGTAAGGTAGTTCTCAACGTATGGGTTGTCATCGAAAAGTGACCTCGATACTAGGAGGCAGTGTGATGAAATGTCACCTTTCTCGATTAGCTAGATACTTCGTCCGCGGCATCGATAACGTTCTTCATTTTTGTCCATGTAAACATCTTCTCTCCATAGCGCGTCTGGCAGTATTGCCTGACTGCATGTCTGAATCGATCATGCTTGCGTATGCTGGCAATCTAGTTCGGTGTTCCCTGGCTGATCCCAAAAGAATTTTCTAACCTGGAAGTCAATCGTTTCTGGTAAACGCGGTTTGTGAGACGCTTGCGTGGTTGATTACAATTTGGGTGGATGTCAGCCCCGCTGGTAAGGTTACATATCTACATAGATGCTGAACGTCTTGCAGCGACTTACTCTCTATACTGTCTTGATCAAAATATGCCCTCAATGAGCTTGCCTTGCTAAGTAGTAAACGAAGTTGAACTACTGTCATATTAAATAGCACAGAGTGCGGGCACCTGATGCGCTTGATGATGTGGACAAGGTGTCGATGCAGCTTCATGACGATGGGACTTCTAATTTTCCTGGAGTTGTTCTCGTCGTGCGAGGTAGTATCGACTAAGAGCTGTTTCCTCCAGAATGTTGGATATCACCTTCAAGTCCATAGAGCAGAGCATTGTAGCAGGTGTGGTGGCCGTAGCCCTTTCCTAGGATTCATCATTCATGTCCCGACTCCCGAGAATAAAAGAGTGTGGTAGCACCCGCTGCCCATCTCCTTTTCCTGTTGCTTGCCCTTCAGAAACCTCACAATTTCTTTGCCCATGTCCTTTTCCTGTTGCCCTTCAGAAATCTCACAATTTCTTGAATCACCTGTCACACCACAACAACATGAGTATATACCTTGAGCTGGCTCCGATAACGAATCTTTGGATTGACATCAGTATAGGACTTCCTCCATCCTCCATCCTCCATGCCATCTCGGCAGTTGCCGCAGTCATAGCCACCCTCCCGCTCGCAAGCCCCTGCGGTGTGTGAACATCACCATCTCCGTCCGGCTTCATCGGCGTCCTCTGCGACCGCTGGCACCTCGCTGGCAAATGCCGCCGTCCTGCCCGGCCCCACAACACAATAAAAGAAGTATATTGATTCGGCCTTCACGAGAAGCACCTGAAGAGTGGTAATACTAATGCTCAGATATAGAGCGGCAAAAATGTGGCAAGTGTGCCAAATCCCACATAGGGGCATGCTGGTCCCGGGCCTCAATGTTGGCGCCGGCGGCGTCCACCAAGTTCCCTGCAACGTCTACTAGTACGATGTAAGTATATCCTGTCCTCAATCAAATAAACAAGACAATTCTCGGAGCTACACCTTGCTAACAAAGGAAGAGGTGCAAATCGGAAACACTGTTGAGAAGAATGCTGTCATCAAGAAGGTCTGGAATTGCAATGCTCGCAGGGCGGGCCTGTTCGGCATCAAGGTCGACAACCACATTTTCGAACACGGCCGCAAGAAATAGCAATACTTCCGTTTGACTGTTCGCCCTACGAAGACTGTCAACCACTCCTGGGTTACTGGACGCACCTCTATAAAGACTGCAAGTAAGTACGCCATTCATCCGACCTGCAGTGTGTTCAGTGACTAATAGCCACAGACTCCTCAGCATCCAAGCGGCAAATTCCTCGCTATTCTCTCTCTTTCTTCGATCTCAACGGGGAAAATCAAGATCTCAGAAACAATCTACTTTGGGTGCCTTTTCGGGCCCAATACAATTTGAGTACGTACGCTCGCCCCCATAGTGGATCTTTAGATTGACATCAACAAGACCTCGAACCGTCGAACGAGACTCCTGCTGCCGCCGCTGACCCGCCTGCCGCCAAGGGTGTTGAATAATCACACCTTCAACGGTGATGGCCATGCAAACGACATCCTCCTGCCTGGCAAGAAACCAAGAAGAAGAAAGCATCCCGACAAGGCCAAAAGGAAGGAGGAAAAGGAGAAGAGAAGAAAAACCCGCGGAGGAAACCAACAAGGAGTCAAGGACGCCAACACAAGCTCCAACCGAGCTATAGTATACATGATCTACGTATATCTGATATGTATATTGACATTCTGTTTTGTGCCTCGCCCGTTACCACCAGTTCAGCTGACGTTTCGTGATTTGGACGAGCGGAGACTTGAATTTATTCCACGAAAGTCCGCCGCCGTCCCAGCTGATGATGATCATCACTAGTTAGAGATGAAATGTCAATGAAGAAGGTATACAGTTCTCCATGACAATTGAGGTTCGGCAAGTGAAGAATACTATCCACTTAGTTTTCAGGCATCCCTGATTACAGTGTCAACGACATGTCGGCGCCCACAATCCCCACAGAAGGGCCAGCAATTGCCAGTGTGGTAATTGGTACATTCGAGCCCTCCTGGCCACCTTGTTCGGCTCTTCCTACGTCTGCGTTTCGGCTTGTCCCGCATCTCGTTCGCAACGGTGGCGGTGCAGCCGCTCAAGTACTAAACATGATTCCCTCCCACCGTAGTCACCCCCGCGGAAGTTGTGTTGCTCCCGCGGCCAGGTCGAGTAGTAGCAGTGGTAGTAGCGTGTCTCACAGCGGTTGACAGAGGTCGTAACGAACAACGATTGGCCAGGTGACTGGTCAGATTGAGGCAACAGGGACACGGCCGGACAGCTGTTATTATTAGTGTGCTTATCTTCATGCAACAATAGGAAGTAAACCAGTAAGCATACCATCTGCTGGTTGGGGTTTGCACTCAGTGAGAACAGAGGCCGATGAGGGATCCAAGGGGCAAGGGGAAAAGGAAGGGGGAGGGGGTGGTGTTGCACAAAGCTGTTGGCACCAATTCCCGAACAACGCTGACCGGTAGTCCGCCCATTCATCCACGTACACGCCAGCAAGGGAGTATCTGAAGAGTTGTCTAGGTAGTTCCCGTACCATGCTTACTGGGCCGAAAGCTGACTGTGCGGATTCAGGACTTTTATTGTTTGCTCAGTTGAGCAACCCGAAGGTCTCCGAAGACATTCAGGTCAAGAAATCGCAAGTATCAATGAGTCTGGGTCTCAGTGGCTTCAATAGTTGCGTACCGGACCCAAACTGGCTCAATTCCGAACGATGTCCTATTGTGCCGTCTACTGAGCATTAGCAAAGAAGTCTCAGAACGTCCCTAGTATGATACATCAACGTACCTTCCGAGACTCCTTATTGCCCGTTATTCCATGTTCCGATCTGTGGGCCAGCCCTATATTCGCAAAGGCATCGAACAGATTCAGAAGAGCCTTCATCATTTCGATATGCATGGCGGCAGTCCAGTTCAGCGTCGGATCGAAGAAACCAGCGTACCTCTTGATGATCACGGAAAGGCCAGGAACGTTTCTGGCCATGGTGGCCGCCACCTAGTCAGCATTGACATTGGTATATTAACAGCAAAGGAAGTTATCGAAACGTACGGGCTTGCAAAGCGCGTGGTGAGTGCGGCATTGCCTGCACAGCGTCGTGGTGTTATCTTCGATGACACAGTCAATGAAGAAGGGATGTGCGTTATTTGAATCCCAATTTTCTGCTGCGGCTCTTAAGCATGCCATACGCCAATAGGTGCCACACAGTAATGTGCCTGGGGCTTAGCCCGGGGTGAGTGGGGTCATTTCGCTCAATATGTGCCAATACAAAATCATGTGAAGTCCTGGTATATCACCATCCTCAACATAGGGAAGATATCATTGCTCCGGGAGTATTTGGATGTATCGGGCCAAATGGAATCGAACTGAGTCTTTGAAGCTTAGTCCTTCACTATCCATGTTGCTCAATGCTGTCATCTATTTCCTTGGAGTAGAAGGTGGTTGCTTCCTAAGGCAAGCAAGTATGCCTGAGACGGAGAGCATTACTGCCTGTTGGTTATGTGTGGTTGGTTAAGTTCCCTCCTCACATCTTCTCTCATCCCTTCTAATACTTATTCTCCTCCACACCAGCAATCGCAACCGCGAGGGTTATTTCTCAGAAACATCTCCTTCAGATCCCTTTTTGAATGCTACCTACAATTTGAGTCCATTCTCAAACCTTGACTTGAGGTTAGGAACACTCGACAAACAATATATGCGGTGACAAATTAAGGATAGCAGACGCGCAGGATTGCCGTTCATTGTGCCAGCGGAGCGCAGACGGGGACCATCGGCCGACGACACCAGAGAAAATCCTTGGGCATGCCTCGGCTGCAAATTTCTTGGGCCTTCAGACGGCAGGTCGTTACACAGTGGAGCTGGAGATTTACATCAAGTCTGACTAGAAACGCCGTGGCATTGGTAAAAGTCTCTTGGACAAGCTCATTGAATTATGCGAAGTGACTTAACGTCCCGAAATGGGGCTTCTTTTACGATGCAAACTGCGACGACAATACGGAAATCCGTCTCTAGGGTCGCTGGCTGATATTTTGGGGTTGTTAAGCCTGCTGGGACCGGCGCCAGCTGGCGCTACAAGACGCAATTTCTATCTCCCGATGACAGCAAAAAGCCTCAGGCTTATGCCTGGTGACCCAGGGTACTCTGGCCCCAATAGCAGTCTTTGGACTGGATTCATGGGACGATGTCTGTCTAACATTGGTATAGGACACCACCAATCAAGGCTTCCGCCGTGGCCCCTTCGTCGCACGGCCCCAAGCCCATTAGCCACCATCGGTGGTTAATAACGACACCTTCGAGGTGAATACCATCACCATCTCAACCCCTTCGGCCTCCTAATATGGGTGCCGGCAATTGCCGCCCTCCTGCCCAGCCCCCAGCCCACCAACCACCAAGTGTGGTGGATAATTACGACATCAACGGTGATGTCCGCCCGCCTGGCAAGAAACCAGAAGAAAGCGCCCCGCCAAGGCCAAGAAGAAGGCCAAAAGGACCAAAAGAAGGAAGAAGAGAAGAAGAGCACTGAGACAAGCTCCAACTGAGCTATAGTGGTGTTAACCTCACCATCAACGCTGCCGCTCCCTCCGCATCCATCTGCGGACGCTGACATCCCGCCGGCAAATCCTGTCCTTCCGCCCGCTGTCCCCGCCGCCCCCGCCAATAAAAGTCAGTATATTGATTCAACCTCCATGAGAAGCATCTTGTGGGTGATGCGGGCGCCACCATGTTTCAGTTGTTTGTCCTTGGGCGCGCCGCCTCGCTCCCTCTGCGTCGTCAGCGGGTGGGGGACCTCTGCGGGCTCATCCCTCCGCCCGCCAAAAAAAAACACCAAGAAAGCGCCCTGACAAGGTGAAAGAGGCCGATGGGGAAAAAAAACAAAAAAAGAAGACGAGTCCAGATAATTCAAGGAGGCAAAGAAGGAGGCGGAGAAGAAGAAGAAGGAGGAGGAGGAGGATATGAGCTTAAATCCAAGTGCAGTTAATAAGATGCCTTTACAAAGCATTGTTCGCTTCCCATGAAACTAGGAGCAAAGAGGGTCTACTTAACAGGTCACTCTGGATTGAAGTATTAACCCACCTTCCTCTGCCATTGGACGGATTCTTCATCTTAGCGCTGCTGGGGATCCGACGATGTTTGATATCATACATTCTGTTATATAGGTTAGATTGAGCTAAGTCTTTCGACTCGAGCCGGATAGGGCCCCTTTGATCTGAGCCAGTCGACACGCTTGTCACATGTACTCATGTACTTTCTCCTAGCTTTCGAGCTCTTCGCATTGAACCTGTCTGGGGGTTATTATGAAATCGTGGTATTGTTGAAGAATGTGGAATCCACATGACCACATCTAACATGTTTCATCGAGAGACATGGCCCTCGTGTACTTTCTTTGATCCCGTCCACGAACAACGCGGAGAACTCAACCGTCAACCCTTCCTAAACAATGACTTATTCAATGACTTATTCGGCGAAGGTGATAACTGCTCAGCACACTTCTTTACCTTGTCTGACTAAATATGATTCCCCTGACTGACGCCAGCATCTGCGGTGTCTACCTGCAAAGATGATGTCTGCATAACAGCTTAACTGTTGATTCAGACTTAATCCCTCGAAATATTGCCAAAGAGTATACAGTCTAGCCCGAGACAGTATGCTGAATATTTCTACTTCCTATGGACAAGAGATAAGCACACTAATAACAGCAGATATCTGACTGTGTCCCCATTGCCTCAATCAGACTGCCCGGCCAAACATTATCCGCCTACAAGCCTACGACCACTGTCAACTGCCACTCTGTGCACCACCACTACCTTACCTCCTTCTCATCAACTAAGTACAGCAAATACCGCAGCAGGTCGATATGACAACTATAACTGGGCATGCCCCTAGGAGCACCATAACTTTCGGCTGGGTGACTATCAATAACCACTTTGCGGGGGGAAATCATTTTTATCACTATAGCAGCGGCACTGCCACAGTTATGATTGAGATACAGGACAAGCCAAAACACAGATGTAGGAAGAGACTGAAGGATAAGTACGGAACTGCTGGAAATTGACATGCTTTTATGTCTACGGTGGGTCCAAACGGACTCACTATAGTTATACGACCAGGATTACCTGAGCGAAGCAAGCCCTCAGGTAGCTTTCGAAGGACCGGTTGAACGCTTTGTTCTTTTTGAAGCCCTTCGCCATTTCTTGGCTATCTTACCATAGAAATGTTTCGGCCTTTTGCGTTCAGGCCAAATAACGCAGAATGTAAGGAATTGCTGGGGTGTGACCAAGGACCCAGACTTCATCTCCCGAATTGTATTGACTGTCATGTCGCTTGCTCCGTGCTTAGCGGCTAACTGGCGCCATTCAGTTTTGTTTTGGGGGATGGTGATGCCCTGTGATTCAGACATGATGGTTTCTAGGAAAGCGAATCTCAATGGTTTTTGTACTTGGACTCTATTGTAGAAACGTATCGTATGCTGCTAGAACTGCGAGTGCATGGAGGAGAGAATCAAGGCCAGTGACATTCGACGGGGATGACAACTCTCCAGGAAACTGCTAACTGAAGTCGTGGGGGAACCATTCATTCTTTTTGAAGGTCTTCGCCATGTCCTTAAGATCGACCTTTTTAATCGGTGTATGGTGCCCACCGATGTCCTTTATCCTGGTACGTGGATGCCAAAGAACGTGGAATTGCTGGGCTGTGACCGAGGACCCAGACCGCATCACTTGGATCGTGTTGACTGTCTCATTTATTGCTCCGTAGGTCTCTGCTAAACAGCGCCACTGCCTTTCGTCTACTGGGATGTGCTCTAATTCGGGCATGATCGTTTCTAAAAAGGCGAATCTCAATGAATTTGTTTCGAAAAAAAAGTGCTTAGGCTCTATTGTAGAAAGTATCGTGTGCTGCTAGAATTGTGAGTGCATGGAAAGTGACAGAACCACCTTTACTAATTCTGTAATAGGGCCACATGTATAAAAGATATCAAGGAAAGGATAAGTTGTAACGAGAGGAAAGAGCTCATCTTAGCTTCACCTGTACTTTTTGAGGGCACAGGTTACTAGACTCCAGCACCACGATGAGGTGTGAGCTCGTAACTGGAGAACAGACTCCTTCCCGCATCCTCGCTGCTGCATGACATGCAAAGTGAGTTCAGCGGGTTAGATCGACTGCGTTTCTGGGGCCAGGATCCTCCCCGCATCCCTCGCA